CACCTAATGACTGCATTTCAGAAACAAATCACACTGAAACTGATAGATTGCTTCTGCAGACTTCCTTTAGTAATCATTATCTGTGTGTTTAAAAGACAGAAACAGAACTTAGATTTTGCAACTCATTTTAAGTGAAACACAATTATCTAATGCCAATGTGCCACTTGAGACATTTTACTCTACTCAGATGCTGTCTTGGTAGTCAAATGTCTTATACATTTAGTAGAACCTACATACCTAATATGGAAGTAAATGTCATGTGAATAGTTGTAAATGTCATGTGAATAGTTGTAAATGTGATGATCATTTATCAGAATGTTTTGAAATATTTATCTTCAGCATGGACCCATTAGTAGAAGAATCCTGCATTAACCTTGAATGATTTGGGGAAGTAAGTAGGCTATCAATAATAAATGATGAACAAAGTAACCCACACACCTGGAGATTTCATCATGCCTGACCATACAAATCTAGAGAAGGCAAATATTTTGGCACATATAAATCTGATTCTCCTTGTATGAGTAAATCTTTTTCAAAGTGTAATGCTTGATCAAAGTTATATAATGTGCAGAGTTGGCAAATTTTCAGCATATTTTTAGAGTGTAACTTGTTAATTTGATTACTTAAAGATAAATTTGTCATTTTATACTTTATTAACTGGATAATGGTATATATAATTCTGCTTGAATTACTAAAATAAATGCAGCTATATATACTAATATAAATCCAGCTTATATAATCTGGCAGATCTGTAATTATTTTCCTTTTGTCACCTGGAGAAATGAACATGATTCATTACTGCAAATTTCCATCCTCAGATGATTTATTCCCCAGCCTTTGTTATGGTCATTGGTCACAAATGGCCCGTAGTTAAAGCATTCTTAATTGGTGGGAGACAGGGTATATTTATATCTTAACTCCAAGGAAGACTCAAATCTGAAGTTCTCTAACTTTAAGATAATGCTTTTCCCGAATTATTTTTAAGGGGAAGAAGAAAGATGATTAAATCATCTCTGGGATAAAATATGTGTATTTTCAATAGCTCCATTTAAGTATAGTAGATGTAAAATATAAATTGGGTGAGCTACAGTGTCAGCACTGAGCATCTTAACTCCAGGTTAGTAAAGAACTTTTGTAATAAATATGAACATGCATGAGATATAAGTTGAATAGAGACTATTATATTATCTTATATATTAAATCATTGGATTACATCATAATAACTTGCAAGTTAAAATTAATGTTTTTCATTATCAGTTGAATTTATATTTTAATTTAAAAATACAATTGGTTTGTATACAAAATCAATGTCATTTTCTGATTACAAACTTAATGTTTATTTGCTTTTAGATGATTTACACATCATAAAGAGTTCTCAGAAATTAGAACTATAATTGAGACTTTTATTACATTTCTTTTAATATCCATTTTAAAAGCCTTATTGAGGTATAATTTATATATCATAAAGTTCACTTATTTTTACATGTACAATTCAGTGATTTTTCGTGTATTTACAGAGTTGTACAACCATCACCAGTATCTAACTGTAGAACATCTTTGATTCAGTAGCAAATTGAGTTCCTTTATGTTTGTTTCCCGAGTTTTCCATTTGATTATTTCAACATTCTGTTCACTTAATCTTCATAAAACAGTATATTAAATACAATTATATTTTAGATTTACAAGTGAAATTTTTCAGGGGCATAAAAAGGAAAAAGTGTAGCTCTATGACCCGTGATGTGTGTGCTAGAATGGGTATCAGAAGAATCTAAGTAAAATTCCTAAGAATGCTTGCTTTGTGATTATGTCCCTTGTGCCCACTGGGGATTTTGGCTTCAGATTTAAAATTTCAGACTAAAGATGGGTAGCATCTAATTGTCAAAAAAAAGTGTTACAATTAAATGATTTAATGTAATGCTTTTATAAAAATTCAGGGAGAACCAAAGGAATTTTGAATTTTCGTTATCTGGACAACAGTCTGGGTGAGATGGGTGCTATTTGAGTGGACTAAAGAAGATATGATAATCATTAATCCCTTTAGATTCTAAAAATCTATTACTGTATCAAATTCTCACTGTTACGCTATTTCACAACTAGAATAAGTTACCTTATTTCCCTGTAGAAGCCTTACAAGACTTTTCTTTTATGGTATATTCTTCAGTTTTATAAAGGAACAACATTAAAAAGCTCATATGAAGGAGAGTCCTGCATCTTTTTTGTAATTTATCATGAAGGATTCTATGTGATACCCCTTATAAAAAGGTTTATACAGTATTTTCTTCTCAGTGAGAAGAGTGAGACTCCAGTTTATTGCTCATAAAAAATAACTAATAATGGAACCTGTGAATTCTGTTCCATTTCATCTGCAAACTCAGAGCTACATTTTAAAATAACATGATGAACTTATTAGTCAATCATGTGTAATAGTGAAACCCCCCCCAAAAAAATTATTTCATTGGTTTTATGCTCTGATCCTTGTTGAGAGGTCTTGGAAATATCTTTTTCATTGAAAGTCATCCTAACTACATTTTTATACGCATTAATCATCCTCCCTTTATCCTCCAACCCTCCCCACTACCCTTCCCATTGTCTAGTAACCATTTTTATACTCTCTATATCCATCAGTTTATTTTGTTTAGCTTCCACATAATAATTTAAAGTATTTTTTAAAAGAAAGTCATTCTAAATCATTTCAGAGAAAGTTTATAAATAATAAATCTATCTATAAATCAATTAAATCAATGGTTTTTTATCCCAAATGCAATTAATTTAAAAATGATAAGAGCAAAAATAAAAATCTGTGGGGTGAAGAAACTAAATAAAACCTAGGTTAAGTGATTTATTTCTTCTTGTATTGATTGGTTTTTATGCCAAATAAAGTGAGATGAAAACAACGTGTTAGTGTCTTATAGATACAGTCTGAATGAATGAGTGTGTAAGTGAGTAAATGAATAAGGAAGTAGATAGCTTGACTACTGCCAGGAGAGGTCCTGGAAGGGACTGAGATTTTCAGAATTCCAAAGGAAATATTACAGAGATAACCAAGTTTGTAAAATAATTTAAAAATAATTGAGCAAACATTTCGAATAGGTGATTTTATAGTGGTCGGAAAAAAAAAGAAATATTCCAAGCAGATTTAATATGGGAGAAATCTCAACATTATGGCTCTATAGGAAGCCATTTCTTGAGCTGAAATTTAACTGGAGAATAAGATATGAATGCCCTGAACCAGATCTGGATCCTTTTTCACTCACTTAATTAAAAGCACTACAACACATTTTACCATAAATATTTTTATTCATTTTTGAGAAAAAAATTATAACACATTAAAAGCATGATTATAAAGAAATGTGTTAATAATATAATACTGTATGTCTCTGTTAGACTGATAATTATCAGTCTACACTCTTCTCTCTTCCTCCTTTCACCTTTTATCTCTTGTTTGCTGGTTACAGCCCATATTTCCAGAATATTGAAATATTCTATAAGTCTGTAAGTAAATCATTTCAGATTTGTGCTATCTGCAAACTTGCAAATTATGTCATATCCAGGTTGTTGATGAAGGGCAAGGAAGAGGAAAGAGTCCTGTGGCCTGCAATTATAGGCTGTCCTCCCTGATAGCAACGATTAACACTTTAGATTAAAACTTTATGAAACTGAGCTATTATTTAGATCAAATTTTCCTCAAAGATGTCATGTGAGAATATAAGAAGAGCCATTCTACAACTCACATATAACACAATAAATGAGGCTTTTATAGCATTACTAAGCAACATACATAACTTGGGTACACGATTTGGGAGCTCGTCTGTATTTATACATCATCCCCCGCCCATAGTTGTTATATCCAAAACATGCGTTTTAGCTTAAAGTAATTTTTCTCCTTTAAATTTTGTCATTGAGAAACAAAATTTGCTTCTCTTGGATTCAGGAGAAAGACATGTTAATCATATTTAGATACGTAGATACATCTACCTATCAACATGCCTTTGCTAGGTTTTGTTTTGTGTTTGTGTGTGTAAATGAGAGAGAGGAAGAGGAAGAGACAATAATGTACATTCAGTTGCCCATGTTTTACGTGTTGACATTATTTTTAAGTGAAGCTTTAACTTCAATATTTAGTGCTTAAGAATAATTAATTACCCACTGGGCAGTGATATCGACACAGATAGTGAGAAGATAGTACCCCTGAAAAAATCTTCACCTTCTCAGTCCTCTTAAGGAATTTTGGTTCACCTACTGCACTTGATTGATCCATGTTTTTATATGGACAAAGGCCACGGAAAGAAGGGGAAAAAAAAAGTTCCTACAACTCTCACCTATGCAGAAGTCTTCCAGAATGTCTAATTGCCCCTCAGGAATCACTGAAGTGTGAAAAAGGCAAATATACATGCTTGGTAGTATATGACATTCTATATTTTACAGTATCTCTTGCAAGTTAAAAATTATACAGAGATAGCACTCAGTTGATCACTTTCATGTGCCAAGCAATTGACAGGCACTTTTGCTTACTTCTTTTCTTCCTTCCTCTCCCTCTCTCTTTCTTTCTAATTGACAAATAAAAACTATATACCTTTATAATGTACAACATGATGTTTTCATATATGTAAACATTATGGAATGGCTAAATCACATACTTATTTTCTGTGATGAGAATACAAAATCTATTCTCTCAGTGATTTTCAAGTGTATAATATATTGCTATTATCTATAATCACAATGATGAGATCACTTGAATTTTTCCTTCTGTCTAATTTAAACTTTGTTCTTTGACAAACTTATCCCTCATCCTCCTCCTTCCCAGTCTCTGGTAACCACCATTTTACTTTCTATTTATGTAAATTTGACTTTTTTATATTCCACATATTAAGTGACATCATTTGATATTTGTCTTTCTGTGCCTGGCTTACTTCACTTAACACAATGTCCTTGAGGTGTTGTTGCAAATGACAGGATTTTTTCTTTATTTAGATTACAAACAAAGTCTGAAACTCGAGGCAATGCACATGCAGAACTATTCCTTGGTGTCAGAATTTGCGTTGCATGGACTCTGCACTTCACGACATCTTCAAAATTTGTTCTTTATATTTTTCTTCGGGATCTATGTGGCCATTATGCTGGGTAACCTTCTCATTTTGGTCACTGTAATTTCTGATCCCCGCCTGCATTCCTCCCCTATGTACTTCCTGCTGGGGAACCTATCTTTCCTGGACATGTGGTTGGCTTCATTTGCCACTCCCAAGATGATCAGGGATTTCCTTAGTGATCGAAAACTCATCTCCTTTGGAGGATGTATGGCTCAAATCTTCTTCTTGCACTTTACTGGTGGGGCTGAGATGGTGCTCCTGGTTTCCATGGCCTATGACAGATATGTAGCCATATGCAAACCCTTGCATTACATGACTTTGATGAATTGGCAGACTTGCATCAAGCTGGTGCTGGCTTCATGGGTCATTGGATTTGTGCACTCCATCAGTCAAGTGGCTTTCACTGCAAATTTACCTTACTGTGGCCCCAGTGAGGTAGACAGCTTCTTCTGTGACCTCCCTCTGGTGATCAAACTTGCCTGCATGGACACCTATGTCTTGGGTATAATTATGATCTCAGACAGTGGGTTGCCTTCCTTGAGCTGTTTTCTGCTCCTCCTGATCTCCTACGCTGTGATCCTCCTCACTGTCAGACAGCGTGCTGCCGGTAGCACATCCAAAGCACTCTCCACTTGCTCTGCACATATCATGGTAGTGACGCTGTTCTTTGGCCCTTGCATTTTTATTTATGTGTGGCCTTTCAGTAGGTTTTCTGTTGACAAGCTGCTGTCTGTGTTTTATACCATTTTTACTCCACTCCTGAACCCCATTATCTACACACTGAGAAATGAGGAGATGAAAGCAGCTATGAAGAAACTGCAAAACCGACTCATGACTTTTCAATGAATTCCAGCCTTCCATAGTGTGACATGTTTCTACTCATACAGGGGATATAATTTCTTTAATATAACTCTGCTCAAAGATTTCATTCTGACACTACATTGATATAATTTGTAATGTGTTATATTACAGGGAAAGAGTTGATTTCAACAAAAAAAATCATTTTATTTTATATTACAAATTTGTAAATATAATGTATTACATATATACATAATGTATGTATTTATATAACAAATATATACACGTATTTATATATTTTTTGTATATATATACAAAGCTTAAAATATATATACATACGTACATGTATATATGTAATATAAAATATGTCATTTATTCAGAGAAGCTATATATATTACTATATATTCAGAGAAATGATATATACATCATTTATTCAGAGAAACAGTTGATTTCAACAAAAATATATCATTTTATTTTATATTACAAATATATACTTACATGTATGTATGCATATATGTATTTTACATACACAGAAATATACATATACATGCATGCATGTATATGTATATATGTAATGTATCTATGTATGTGTATATATTAGTAAAATAAGATAAAATGATATATATATCTGTGAAAATATATCTGTGTGTGTATATACACACACACATAACACATATGTATATATATCTTCAACTCCACACATATATTTTGGAATGAACTCTGCATTTTCTAAAACCAGATTTATCTTACTAGTTTATTCTGCCCCAAAAGTTAATATGAAAAGACATTTTTATTTCCTAATCATAGCTCAGTACTGCAAAGTGCATTATTCAAAACACGAGACATTAGGCACAGGGAGGCATGCCTGGGATTAAGTAATGCCCAGCAAATATTTGTCCTAATTTTGGAAGCTTGAAAGGAGAGAAAAGACAGCACCATTTCAAGATCTTATTGATTTTAAAAATATACTTTTCCTAGTAGATGTGTGTTATACTGAACACTTTTATTTAAAAAATGAATACATTCCAGTGATTTTCATTACAGAAATCCATTTTAACATTGAAAAATCCATATTTTACAGCTAAATATTTTATAATGTAAACATAAATGATAGTGTTACATTTAATACATATTCAATTATTAAATTAACACATTTTCACCCAAAGTAGATTTTCAATAAACACTGCATCTCTTTCTGATTTGATTCTGTCTCCTGGGGAGTCATTTATCAGGAAGCGTATGTTTGAATGCCACAGATGCAGATGTGCTGAATTTTTACATGTCCATGGATCTTAAGAAGACAATTATAAACAAGAGTTAAATTTCATTTTTACTAAATTAACGTGCAGGGAACTCAAGCAATTTTCTCCTGGGTTGACTGTGAGATATTAAACCAAAGGAGAAAATTGAGTAATGATTGAGTTACTTAAGCAATTGAATGGAACAACCAATGACTTTGGATATTGTATTCAATCCAGGAAGGCATGCTTCTGGGTACTTACAACTTGCCCTATAATTGCAATCCAAACATATGCATAAATATAAAAGAACACAGAAGGAAAACAATATCTGCCTTAAGATAAAGTCCCCTTGCCTATTATAATACTCTTTTTTTTATTTTATAGACTTTGAACATAGTCAAGTTTTACAATCAATTACACCTATATATGTGAACATTAACAAAAACTTAAAGAGAAATCAAGATCTGCCTTAAAAGTAATTTTCTTTGTTGTTATTGATGTAATACTGATCACTGACTTGCTGCAGACTTTGGACATAATTTTTTAATCAAAATATAATAAATACTATATATATTTATTTATTCAATTATTATATGCTTTTCAAGTACCTACAACATTTCAGATTCCAGGCAATGATCTAGGAGTGAAGATAGAGTATTTAAGAACATACATTACCAGACACTTGGATCTTTTCAATTAGTGAAATAAAGACAAGTATACAGACAATCACAAAATATGAGGCAAAATGAAAACTATGATAGAAATAAACAGGATATCCTCTGAAGGCCCATCAAAGAGAAACCTAATCCAATGCTGATTTTTAGGAAGACTTTATTCCTTCAACTTTTCTCTGATTTTCTAGGATTCTTTCTTATTAAATTTTATATATATAATTATATATTTAAAATATATTTATATATAATATATAGTGTGTATATGCTTTATGCACTATAAATACATATGATATATTGTATGTATATATAATGTGTGTATGTGTATATAAATATATATATATAGTTGGTGTGTGTGTGTATTTAGCATAGGAATAGTCATGTAGTAAATGCCCAAATATATACGAGATCCCATGAGGTGTTTCTGAGTTCTCAGAACTATCCAATGGCTCATGCTCCATTCCTAATCTCTGCTCAACTCTCCACATTGCTTTGTCCAGATCCATAAAGATAAATGTGGATCATTGCACTCTCTAGGCACAGACATTCCTGGGGTTTATCTAGTAGTTTGGACTGAGTAAACCTTACTATTGATAGGTTAGTGAAACTTGAGAGAAATCACCAGTTTTTGTTTTTCACAAACAATGTGCATTTGCAGAGAACTTGTCACCGTCAGTTCATAAGAAGCCACAGATTTCAAATTAGAGGAAGCTTCCTGAATTGTGAGGAAGCATTTACAAAGCTCATTTTCTGATTTTGAAATGAGGTAAGTTAAATACATATTACAGTGAATGTTTCAAAGTGCAAATAATATGGTTCCATAATTGGCCAGCTGAATTTGAACGTTAGGAACCAATGCCAGAAATCTGCTTTTTACTATAAATTGCCTCAGGTGATTCTCATTCACTGTTATGACTGAGAACCACTGAATAATTGCTGATGTTATCTGCAGGAGTAAATGCTATTAAGGAATGGTTGGAAGGGTTTTCTTAACGTATAAGTCTCTATTAATGGACCAGGATGCATTTTCATAATTAAATATCCTAGAAATCCATCATTGGGATACACTAATTTTTTAAAAACACAACCTCCTAAGATACATTATTGATGGTTATAAGACCAGGTCAATGATAAGTTTCTGTGAAATTGAAGGAATCTTAAATATCCCTCCATGTCTCTAACTGCAATCATTAAGATATCTGCTGCTTCCTCTCCTAATTCTCTTTGATATATTCATGCTTTTCTTCAACATGAAGATTAAAACAATGTTAAAATCAAATTATTTTGTCTGAAGACTTTTATTAATGTAAGTCATTTTAAATGCTAAATTTTCATAAGAGAGTTTCAAATTTAAGGGTTTTCTTTTTTTTTCTTTTTTCTTTTTTTTTTTTGAGGCAGAGTCTTGCTCTGTCACCCAGGTTGGAGTGTAGTGGCATGATCTTGGATCCCTGCAAGCTCCACCTCCCAGGTTCATGCCATTCTCCTGCCTCAGCCTCCCAAGTAGCTGGGACTACAGGCGCCCACCACCACGCCTGGCTAATATTTTGTATTTTTAGTAGAGGGGGGTTTCACCGTGTTAGCCAGGATGGTCTCGATCTCATGACCTCATGATCCGCCCTCCTCGGTCTCCCCAGGTACTGGGATTACAGGTGTGAGCCACCACGCCCGGCCTAAGGGTTTTCGTATGAAGTAAAATGTCTTTCCTATAAATGCGCAAACTATTTTTTTCACTTAATTTCTTCCTATTTGAACTCAGAAGCAGTTTGAAGAGGATGAGGTCAGAAAGACTTTTAAGAAAATGTATCCCCAAACATTGGCTTTTGTGGCTCCCTCCATCATGAGTGACCTGTGGATCATGCACAGGGTAGTGACTAACTTCTGCAACTCTAAGATTTCATTTAAGCAACCTTTTCTCCCCAGTATCCAATATCTAGAATCTGATGTTCTATCTAGGAATGGTATGCTTGCATTATATTTTGCAACATTTGGTGGCTCTGTGTTTAAAATAAAAAGCTTTTAAAAGTCAATTGTATTTCTATATACTGGAAATGCAAAAATGAAATGTAACCAAAAGAAGAGCACTAAAACAATGATACATGGAACAATATCAAAAAAGATTAATAATATCAGCACTTAGTGGTATACATTTTCGTCTCAGTATTCCTTTTGTTTTGTCCTCTGAATTTTGGTATATTATATTTTCATTTTAATTCAGTTTAATGTATTTTTTATTTCATTTCAATTTTGTTTCTATGACCATGTCTTATTTATAAATGATTTGGCTTGTTTCCAAGTGTTTGGAGATTGTCTCATCTTTCTATTCTTACTTTATAGTCTGAATGAATCACAGCTAGAGAGCATCTTCCATATGATTTCAATTATTTTACATTTTTTTAGTTTGTTTTCAAAGCTGTATACTTTTATTTTGATGGCTTCTGGCAAATGTCATGCAATTTTAATATTGTTTTTTACTTTTATTTTAAGTTCAGGGGTCCATGTGCAGGTTTGTTACACAAGTAAACTCGTGTCAAGGGGGTTTGTTGTATAGATTATTTCATCACATAGGTATTAATCCTAGTACCCATTAGTTATTTTTCCTGATCCCCTCACTCTTCCTACCCTTCATCCTCCAATAAGCCCCAATGTCTGTTCCTCTCTATGTGTCCACTTGTTCTCATCATTTAGCTTCCACTTATAAGTGAGAATATGTGGTATTTGGTTTTCTGTAACTGTGTTTGCCAAGGATAATCGCCTCCAGCTCCATCCATGTCTCTGCAAAGGACATGATCTCGTTCTTTTTATGGCTACATAGTATTCCATGGTGTATATGTACCACGTTTCTTTATCCAGTCTATCATTGATGGACATTTAGGTTGTTGTGTTACGTTTCAGGATATAACCTATCTTGGTAAATGTTCTGTGGGTGTTTGAAAAGGATGTGCGTTCTGATGTCATTGATGGAGTGTCCTAAAAATGTCAATTAGGTCATGTTGGTTGTTAGTGTTGTTGAATTCTTCTATATACTTAATGAACTATCTCTATTAATTGTGTAAAGAGGCATGTTGAAGTATCTAATTATAATTGTAGATTTGTCTATTTGTTCTTTCAGTCTTATCAGTTTTTGTTTAACATAATT